GTATATATGTATATATATGTAGATACTTCTCAGGTGTCAAAAAGTACGGTTATTTTTAAAAAGGCTAGAGACATGAGACAAAAGGCATTAGATAGGGTTTTGTTCTAGCGTCCCAGAAAAATCTGGCATTCCAACTTTTTAGGCCCGAAATAGCCCCCTTTTAAGATTTTCTGAAAAAATTTGTGTATAACAAAAGCACTTTTTCTTTGATATTACTAGAAACGCAAACCAAGAAATAAATAGTACTTTTTATTATTAGAACAGAAACTGATAAACAGAAATAAATAATATTCGAAAATACAATGATCTTACATATTTTTGGTTTGAAAAATCGAAATAATCTTAATGTAAATAAATGTCAGCTTCTATCAAAGACATCAGATGGGCCCTTTCCCAGTATGTCAAAGATTTGACGATCATGTCAATCACGTCAATCGCTTGATTTAGCAAATGACAATCACCTGTAATTTGAGCAATTTTCAAACAAATCACTTATGCATTAGCCTTTAAAAACATGCGAAAAAAAAACTAAAATGACAATCAATTGCGTTAGCAACATATGTTGGGATTTATGACGCTAGCGTCATGTTGCCTTGGGATTCATGACTAACGTCAGTTGCATGCATTTGACGATACTGGGAAAGGCCCATGTTTTGTGGCATCTGAATATTCATGCTTCATTTGTTTTGTTTTGAATATTATGTTTCGTCAGCAAGTTTTAAAAAAATATACATACAGAATTTATGTACGTATACAGTTAACATTTTATTTTTATTGATCCAAGCGAAAAACTGTTAAATGCTAAATTCTAATACATTCATATGTCCATAGATATATTTGAATAAAATTATTTTATTTTTGCCTAAACCTTTTCTATATTTGAAAAATTACATTCGTATGTTCATACATATTTCTCAATACAATATTATTATTAATTATTTGAAAAAATTTTTTTTATATGTTCCAATAGGTATATATTCTGTTCCGTCATGACGTCACAGTTCATTTTTTTTTTCCTAGAGAGAAAACAACAAAAAAAGCCGCAAAGAAACATTACTTGATATAAAAAAGAACATTTTTTGCTACTTATCTAAACTTGTTGTAATCCAGTGCAATCCACTCAGCGGGTTTTGTTTCTTCACCTGAAAATTGAATATATTGGATTTGGGGTGTAATTTTATTTACAATAAAATACTTACATGAATTTGAAATATCTTCCAGTCATGCATCTATCAGTCTAGATAAGGTCTTCTAGTGCCGGTCCAGCACTTTTAAGTTGCGCTTCACCCTCCATCGTTTTCTCCTTCCATTTCAGCATTTTTTTTGGGACTCCAGGTCCATTAAGTCTCTAATTTTGTGAAAATTATTTTTTGTTTCTTTGAGCACTTGTGTTCACCTCAAAATGTAAATAAAACTGGTAGGTGACAGTTTGCAGCGGTAATTTCTGCACAAACATTATATATCAATGCTGCCAACTGTCACCTATGGTCATAGACAAGTTTATGTAGAGTTATAGTCAGCTATTGATAGAAATGTAATGGAGTAAGAGAAAAAATAGAAGGTGAATAAAATGGAGAATGGAAGGGGAAAATAGCATAAAATAGAAAAGAAGAAACGTAGAATTTTACAAGAACAATGTGTATTGCGATATACATAAGAATGATACATTGCATTACAGGTTTGTTGAACTACATCATATGATCTATGTAAAAGAAAAGAAGAAAAACGTTAACAACAGAAAAGTGGGACTAGCCAGGAACAACTTCACCGTTGCTCAACCTGTTATTCCAGAAATTATAAAAGGGACAGAATCATCCAGAGGAAGTACTACTAAGTAGAAGATCGCTAACCGCAACACACTGAATTTCGAATTATAAATTTTTGTCAAACATATGTAAGATAATTTTTTTGGATTTTATAATTTGAACAGAAAAATTTTGTTAAACAAAAGAGTTTTCTTGGATTATATAATTTCAACTTTTTATATCTAACATTGATATAAATTTGAATAATGAAGTTTTTTTGAAGAAAAAAGAAAAAATTGAAAAAAAAGAAAATATAATATAGATATATAAAGATATTGATTTTGTAATTTTTTCAAAAATAAAGAGTACATAATTTTTTGGTGCTTTCTGCAATAAACTCTGATAATTATAAAAAAAAAACTTATCTTTAATTTAAAATTTTAAAGGTGTTAGCAATTATTCGCAAACATTTTTTGGTCCTTCGAACCGGATAGAGGGTTACGCGAAAAATTTTTGAAAGAGAAGGAAAAGCAAATTTAAATTTAGAAAACTTAGTTTGTTTTGTTGCAAAACTAAAACTTATATATTTTAAATCAGTGATGAGCAACCTTTTTTTAAATTGGGCTAAATGAGAAAAAGCAATCGTTTCCCGGGCCGCAGTTATATTTCTTAGATATTATAATTATTTTCTTAAACTTAAACATATTATTATAAAAATAGTGATTGAACAATTATAATAAGAAAAAATAAAAATAAGTATTAAAAGTTTTAATGAGAAATTTGCCACTGCTTCTTGTCGACAAGTTTAGAAATATTTGCGGGTGCATTAGAAGCTGCGACACGTAAACAACTTTCCAACCTTTCCTTTTTCGTTCGATTTCGAGCTGAGTTATTGATATTTTTCATTTTGAAAAAAGCTGTTCGCAAAGATACGTACTTCCGAAGAGACTACCCAAAAGTGATGTAAAAGTATGTTACAATGTGGAGGTTGAGGACAGCTCAGCTTGATGAGCATTATATAAGCTTGGTTTTTTAATTTTTTGAAATTTTATCAAACTTATTTTATTATTTTTTTGTATTGATGAAAATTAACCGATTCAAACCATGCTAAAGTTAAAAATTCGTATAAGAAATAGATATGTATGTATATTGAATTAAATTTTTTAGACTGTGTTAAAACAAAACGGTGTACAAGAGATCTGAGTACGCATTGAGCATATTACGAAAAGCCAACATTTAACCAAAAAAAATATTGTCTTTGGGAAATCTTTTTTTAAACAATAAGTAAATAAGTGAATAAGTGAAACGAACATAATTTTTTTTTTTGGTGTTAAAATAGACCATAGACAGAGGTAGTAGAGCGATATAAAAAGAAAAAAGAGATAATTAATAGTGGTAAAAGTTTGAAAAGGGGTGGTGCTTAAAAACACTCAAAAAGAGAATTATTATATTTAAATTTTGTAAAGGCAAAGGAACTGTGTAAAATATTAATATTTACAAACATTAAAAATAAAAAAAGGAACATTGTTTTTGTGTGGAGTTTTTTTTTGAAGCTGGTAGTGCAAACGGTTTCGGTATCGGTTCGCGTTTCGCGCCAATCTGGAGTAAGTGGCTGGCTGGCAGAAAAAGAAGTAAGTCCGTTCCAATTTTTTTTTTTAAATATTTTTTCTTTTTGTTGAGGTTTTGGTCGACGATTTTTATTATATGTTTGTTCAACCATTCTTAATAAAGTTGGATTGTTTGTGGAATATCTGATTGATATATAAACATTGTTTCTTTGGATGAATGGAATAGATTTTCTATTTACCTTGAGTGCTTATACGATAAGTTTTTATGGGACCTACGTATTATTACTTTTTAACGTTGAAAGTGTCTTGTGCGATTTTGAGTAGAACGCGGTATTAATTATAATTGAAATTAAAAACAAAAAAAATAAAAAGAACAAAACTTTAACATAAGTTATTGTACATATTACGTACGTGTATTGTCGGTGGATACGTTTTTTTTAGCAATATTTTACGATTGTTAATTCAAACAATAGAAGCGTTGTTTTTCGCGTGAGGATTCCGGTTTTAAAAGTGAATTTATTAATTAATAGCATTCAATTAAAGCAAAAATTGTGTAATGAATAAATTGAAAGTATTTGTATAAAATAAGTGAATTACAATATAATTAAAATTAATTTAATACAGTACGGTATAGATTTTATTTTTCGATAAAATTGTAAAAAAAAAAATTACAAACAAAATAAATTTCTACAAAATAAAAACTTTGTATAAAATAAAAATTGACTGAATTCTTGAATAAAATTTTACGGTTGAATAATAACAAGCGTTTCTTTTTTTTATTGCACGTATTGATTTACTTTTGTATTTCATTCCTTTTACATTGACGTAAAAGGATATTTTAGTTACACACTTGCTGTTTTTATAGGAAGTATATAGGATGGACAAATTAATTAGGCTTCAATTTGCGGATAAGTTTTTGATCGAGGAAATAGTCTCTAACTTTTTTTTGGATGACACACGTGAAAGCAAGCGTTTTACAAAGAAGCGCTAGACGGTATAGGGGACCTGAATGCGGAGTTAAAAAGAGGCATAGGGCAATATTAGTTGCATCAAACACTGACAAAAATGCGGACAATGTGAAGTACCCATACTTCGAAAATAGCATTTTCAATGAAATAAAAACATTTTATCAACATAAGCACCAAATGATAGAAGCTGAAATGAAAACCAAATTCCCAGAAAGACCACCGGAGCTAAAGGTGGACTTTTTCAAAGGCTTTTCAAGCCACAGAAGATAATTATGCTGCTGCATTCAACATGTTGAAGGAGAGATATGATAATAAGCGAGTATAAGTAATACTCAGCTTAAATTGCTACTCAACCAAAGTTTTGTAAATCAGGAGACGGCTACAGCAGTTAGAAAATTACTTGACACTAGTAATAAGTGCTTACAGGCGTTAATGAATCTGCAGATAGATGTGGAGGGCAGGGATCTCATAATAGTTTACCTCATCGTGCATAAGCTGCCAACCGAGACACATCAGCTATGGGAACAGAGCGTCAGCGCAGAAAATAAATTACTAACTTGGCGGCAATTATAAAATTTTCCTGAAGCTAGATTTCGCATATTGGAGGCTACAAAACGAGGCTAGTAAGTACAGAAATAGTTGCGCTTTGCATGCTGCTACAAATACAACAGCGAATAGTAACTCACCTTGCCCTATTTGTCGGGGGTATAGTTGAAACAATGCAAAGATTGGAAGCTGTTAAAAGTAGGGGATTATGTATCAACCGTCTTAATTCTGGACATATGATGACCACTTGCCCTAGTCAACAGAGTTGCTTTAAATGTCATCAACGATATCATACCCTATTGCATAGGGACAACGAAGAAATTGGGTATCGAGGCCTATCACGGCGACAGCAGCACACCGCAGTCGCGTCACAAGTACGTGCGAACTACGTCTCACATGATCCGTCACCTCCAACCATAGCAGGTGAAATTTCGACATCGGTGTCAGCATTTGTACCCGGCAGCAACAGCCATGTTCACATTTGCGGCACATCGGATGCACCCTCACGACAGGTTCTTCTGGCCACTGCGTGCATTAAAATAGTATGTCTAGAGACGGGACGCTATCAGAGGGCGAGAGCTCTAATCGATCATGGTTCACAGAGTTCTTTCATCACTTAATCAACAGTTCAGAATTTAAATTTACGAAAAAACAGGACAATAACAAACATACACGGTGTATCAGAAAGCAACATCGGCCAATCATTAGCAAAAGTGGATGTCATCATACAAGATCTAGGGGATTCCAAGCAGGTGCGCACTTCGGCGTTGGTTCTAAGGAAACTGACCAACTTGCTACCAGAGCGTAATATTCAAACTAAAGAGTGGTCACACATAGACGGATTGATCCTAGCTGATCCAGGTTATTTTGCGATGGGAAAAATAGATGTAGTCATCGGAGCAGACATTTTTGGCCAAATTATTTTGGAGGGACTAAGAAAGGGTCCTTCTGACGCACCAATTGCTCAAAAAACCATTTTTGGATGGATCATAACAAGCAATGTCGATCAACGAAGTATCAACACGACGTTTCACATCCAATCCGATTTAGATGATAGCATCAGAAGGTTCTGGGAGTTAGAAGAAATACCGGAACAAACAATATTTACAGAGGAGGAATTATTCCCCTCTATTATGTATATCGGTATCGGCCGATAAACGATAATTTATCGGCAAAATTTTGTGTTTATATTACCAACATTGTTTATCGGTAAATTTTATCGGAGTCGGGAAAGCTTTTTTTCCCTGTATAGGAAACGTATTAGCTGGTATTATGAAAACGATAAATTGTCAGGTTTTCACCGATTTAAAAGCGGGTACAAATTTTTAGACGACAGATTTTTTTTTTTGTAAAATCTTCATTTTATCAAGGAAACTGGTGTAATTAATTGCTTTTTTAAAATGTAAGCATTTTTTCTAAATTATTTTCTTTCAAAATGTTATTCATATATTTTATTTAGGAGTAAAATCGTAAGCAACAAAAAACAAATTGCGCGGTTAGTAGAGAAAATGGAAGAGGACTTAAACCTGGCAAGGAATGATAATCTGAAATTCTGCATAAACCTAAAAAATGTGTACATATTATATAAATAATAAAATAAAATAGGTACATAAACATACATTTTGTTGTCTAAATCCAATGGATTAGTTGAATCTCTTATATGTCGTCTTTGAAAAGCTTGCGTTTCTTCACTTACTACCGTTTCTTCACTTTCAAAATATAATGCACGCGACATTTTCCCGATATATGTATATTTTTATTTTACAAATTTAACAGAAAATAATTTGCTTACAACAACTTTTTAGCACATCAAAACCAAATTCAAAATAGTTTTAAAAATTTTTTGAAAATAACTTTTGAAAGAAAACAAATGTCATTAGAAAAAAAAAAAACTTTTTTTCCAATTTACAAAAACAAAAATTTGTATGAAAAAGCTTCTTTTAATCGGTTGAAATATTTTTATCGGTATCGGTTCATAATACAGAAGAAACCTAAAACCGATTGGAACTGCCGATAATATATCGGCCGATACCGATGTTCATAATAGAGGGGATTGTGTGAAAGGCATTTTTCTTAAATATTTCGTAGACTTGAGGATGCACGCTATCAGGTTGAGTTACCTTTTATACCGGATGAGCGACACATTGCGATTGCCAGGCTTTTCGGCATGGAGACACAATTTTCAAAAAATGAGATACTAAAAGACAACTACAGCAAGTGTATAGCTGAATATTTGGACATGAACCATATGGAGCAAGTGAAGTCAACAGAATTAAAAAATCAACAACAACAAATCATTTCGAATTATTTGCCATATCACGACGTCATAAAGGAAAGTAGCTCAACAACAAAACTGCGAGTGGTTTTTGATGCATCACGGCCTACTTCGAATGGTTCATCATTAAATAACAAAATATTTAAGAGCCCAGTCATCCAAGACGATTTATCTACTCTTCTATTACGTTTTCGAAATATAAAATTGCATTTACAGCAGATTTGGAGAATATGTATAGACAAATCCGAATTGCACCGCAACATGCCGATTATCAAAGAATAGTTTGGAGAGCTTCTTCGAGTCAATCTATTCAAGACTACAAATTAACTGCAGTAACATTCAGTACAAAATCGGCACCGTTTCCGTGCCAACACGTGTATTAAAACGGTTGGCGATAGATGAAAAGGTAAACTATCCTCTTGCATCAAGAATAATGTTGGATTCAGTTGATGTGGATGATCTGCTGTCAGGTGCGGATTCTATCGAAATGGTATTAGAAATGCAAAAACAATTATCGGGCATGATGGCTTCGGGCGAATTCTCATTGCGCAAGTGGTCATCAAATGCAGCTGAAATACTACAAGCCCTTCCACAAGAACATCGAAAAATCAATTGGCTTTTAAAAATTGAAGACGCTGAAACAGTCAAAACATTAGCAGTACAATGTGATCTAGCAAACGAATAATTTTCGTATAAAATTTCAAAATGTACAGAAATGGACAAAGCGAACAATAGGTTTCAAAACTATTCGATCCCCTCGGCTGGTTGGCACCTTGTATCATTATAGCTAAGATAATGATACAAAAATTATGGCTTTCGGGTTCAGGATGAGATGATGAGGTAGAAAGGAGCTTGCACGATGAATGGCAGATTTACAGGAAGACTCTTGTTCATCTGGAAGCACTACGTATAAACAGGTGGTTCTACTATTCAACATCGGCAAATAAAATAGAATTACATGGATTTTGTGATGCCTCGATAAAGGCGTATGCTGCGGTGGTCTACCTGGTTGTCATAGACGAAGAGGGAGGCCGAAAAACTAGCATGTTAACTGCAAAATCAAAGGTAGCTCCGATAAAGACAATATCTTTGCCGCGACTAGAGTTGAGCGGCGCAGCATTATTGGCGAAACTAATATAAAGTTTATCAAAATATATCGAAGGTGCAAGCTTGGACGGATTCAGAGATCGTGTTGCCTTGGTTACGGGCTCACCCGAGCAAATGGACCACGTTTGTAGCAAATCGGACCGCTGAGATACATCACACATTAGGCAAAAACATATGGCGTCACGTGCCCTCAAAGGAAAACCCAGCAGATTGTGCTTCACGGGGAATGCATGCACCAGATCTTATAAACTTCAAAATGTGGTGGAACGGCCCAGAATGGTTACAGAAATCGGAGTCACACTGGCCAATTAAAACACTACTCCAAGATACGGATAGCGAGATACGAAAATCGACTCTGTGTCACAACACGATCATAAATGATAAAGAATGCAACGAGATTCACGAATTGGAAACACGATATTCATCATTTACGAAACTCATCAATGTAACGAGTTACATCAAAAGATTCATCGCCAAAGTAACCAAGAGAAATCTAAATTGCAATACATTCATATCGGTGTCAGAATTTAACGCTAGCGTGGAGATGTGGATACAAATAGTGCAACATAAACATTTTTTACAAGAAGTGACACAATTGCGGAAAAAGAAACTTATTCATACAAACAGTCGTTTAACGAGGCTTAATCCTTTTCTGGATCAAAATGGAATATTGAGAATGGTTAGCAGATTGCGACACGCAGATTTGAATTACAATGAGAAATTTCCGATTATATTGCCCGATAGAAGCCATTTTGTACGACTACTTTTAGAAAAAATTCATCGCGAAACTTTGCATGGTAGTGCTCAACTTATGCTCAACGTAATAAATAGAAAGTTTTGGATAATTGGTGCACGGAATCAAATTCGACAGCAAATACATAAATGCATCACGTGCTATCGACAGCGGGCTGCAGTTCAAAAATAGCTTATGGGAAACTTGCCTGCTTTTCGAGTTAGGGCCAGTCGGCCATTTACAAATACTGGCGTTGATTATTGCGGCTGTTTAAATTAAGAACACATAAAGACAAAAATCCGAAGACATATAAGGCGTACATATCTATTTTTATATGTCTTGCTGTTAAGGCTATACATATCGAACAGAAGCATACAGAAGATTCAGTAGCAGACTGCAAGGTACTCTATTACGATAATGGTACTAATATTGCGCTAGCAAAGAGCTCGCAAAGCAACATAAACATATGTTACAACAATTAAAATCAGATTTACCACAAGTACACGAACATGAAGGAATAGTTTTCAAGCTCATACCACCTTGTTCACCTCACTTTGGCGGATTATGGGAGGCTGGTGTCCGCTTTGCAAAGCAGCATCTTAGAAAGATAATCGGAAATGCAAAGTTGACATATGAGGAGTTTTCAAAGGTCTTAACTCAGATTGAGGCTTGCCTAAACTCTAGATCTCTTTGTGAAATTAACAGATATCCAGAGGATTCTAGGGCCCTAACACCTGGGCATTTCCTGACTGGTGATGTAATTATAACACCACATGAACCTTCTTTGCTAGATTTAAATGAATGCAGATTAAACAGATGGCAGCTATTTCAAAAAGTACATCAAACCTTTTGGACACGTTGGAGTAAAGAATAACTATACTGATTGCAGCAGCGTCCAAAATGAAATTAAAGGACTGACAGCATGAAAATTGGCGATTTGGTTTTACTTAGGGACGAGAAGTTGCCACCAAGCGGATGGACTTGTTCTAGTTGTTACATTAAAAACGAAGGATAACATGTTGATGGATAATTATGATGAAACTGAAACGCAGTCAATCGAGACCGATTAATCGCATAGTGGTACGTAACTAGCACTACACTTCATGCACAAATAAAAAAAAAGAAAAACCAAAAAAAAAAAAATCGCGTAACCTAACGTTACCGAATTCCACCTAACATCGCACTTACCTTACAACACCTAACTTGCGCTACTTAACGTGAAAAAAAAAAGTAGAAGCACCTAATACAAACATTTCTAACCTACGCTTAAAATTAACTTAAAATTTAAAATTAGTAATACTTAAATTAATTTGTTAGTTAAAAAAAATTAAATTTCCTTAAATTAGTTGTTAGTTAACTTATTAGTAATAAATTGTTTTTTCTCTTTCCTAAATCCCACTTCCTGAATTTCCGGAGAGCGAGATTAAGCGCTATAACTTCTTCCTTCTATCCCTCTGCTCTTTTCGTTACAGATGAAGACTTAAAAGGACATGATTTAGTGATGGGTACAATTTGCATTTGGAACGTTTAATCGAAACTTGAAAACTTACCAATTATCATCACAATATGGTTATATCGGTATCAATATCATTGTTCTCCAGCAACACACCAGCTTATTCCCCAGTAACCTATCAGCACATCACTGTTTTCCTAAAGCGAAAACAATAAAAAAAATCACGAAGAAACACTACTTGATATAAAAAAAAACATTTTTTGCTACTTATCTAAACTTGTTGTAATCCATTGTAACCCACTCAGCGGGTTTTGTTTCTTCAACTAAAAATTGAATATATTGGATCTGGGGTGTAATTTTATTTACAATAAAATACATAAATTTGCAATATCTTCCAGTCATGCATCTATCAGTCCAGATGAGGTCTTCTAGTGCAGGTCCAGCACTTTTCGGTTGCGTTTCATCCTCCATCGTTTTCTCCTTCCATTTCTGCATTTTTTTTTTGACTCCAGGTCCATTAAGTCTCTAATTTTGTAAAATTATTTTTTGTTTCTTTGAGCACTTGTGTTCACCTCAAAGTGTAAATAAAACTGGAAGGTGACAGCTTGCAGCGAACATTTCTGCACAAACATTATATATCAATGCTGCCAACCGCCACCTATGGTCATAGACAAGTTTATGTAGAGTTATAGCTATTGATACAAATGTAATGGAGTAAGAGAAAAAATAGAAGTTGAAAGGAAGAATGATACATTGCATTACAGGTTCGATATATCATATTATGATCTATGTAAAAGAAAGGAAGAAAAACGTTAACAACAGAAAAGTGGGACTGGCTAAGAACAACTTCACCGGTGCTCAACCGCTTATTACAGAAATTATAAAAGGGACAGAATCATCCAGAAGAAGTACTACTAAGTAGAAGATCGCTAACCACAACACATGGAATTTCGAATTATAAATTTATGTCAAACATAAGATAATTTTTTTGGATTGTATAATTGGAACAGAAAAATTTTGTTAAACAAAAGAGTTTTCTTGGATTATATAATTTCAACTTTTTATATCTAACATTGATATAAATTTGAACAATGAAGTTTTTTTGAAGGAAAAAGAAAGAATTGAAAAGAAAGAAAATATAATATAGATGTATAAAGATATTAAAAAATATAAAATAAAATATAGATATATGTATATAGATAGCAATAAACTGATAATTATAAAAAAAATTTATCTTTAATTTAAAATTTTAAAGGTGTTAGCAATTATTCTCAAACACATTCATAATTTTGTTTGATTGTACTTAAAATTTTATTTCTAATTATTCGAACGAAAAATTTTAAAATGTTTGTTTCTAATACATATGAATGTACATACATTTAATTTCATAAAAATATTATTTTATTTATGCCTAAACCTTTTCTTTATTTTCCCATGATTTTATAATTATGTAGTTATTGCTATATGCCAAACCATAGTTTTGAATATTATTCAATTTATATAGAAAGCTTGAAAAAAATTAGTTAGGAAGCGATTTTTTCCAAACTATTATAACAATATTTTTTTGGAAATTCTTTTAACTTTTATAATAATATTTGTCTGTTATATATTAAAACAAAAATAAAACAAAAAATTTAAACAAAATAAAAAAAAAGAATTTTAAAATAATCCAAGAAAAGAAAAATACGACAATATCCAGGTTAGCATAGATCCAATAACCTTATGTTTATCAGACTACCACGCTACCCACCATGCTACGCAGTACTTTAAAGTTCCCTTTATAATTCTATATTTTATTCATATTTCGTATAACTCTTCAAAAACCATTCTATTTTACATTATATATATATAGCTACTTCTTAGGTGTCTAAATGTACGGGTACTTCTAGAAGGGCTAGGGACATGGGACAAAAGGCATTATAAAGGGTTTTGCCTCTAGGGTCCCAGAATAAGCAGGAATTCCACCCGCCCTTCCCCTTCACCCCCTCGCAAGGTGCTTTATGAACGTTTTTTACAAAATGGTACTACATCCTGTAGGGGTAATTTTTTATTTACTTTTGGTGGTATAAATATTGTATGTAAATTCATATTTGGAAGTGTGAGTAAGAAAAAGTGATCACTTTCTTAAGAAAATTGTAAAGATTTAATAAAATCTATTGTTTTATAATAAGTATGTACGTACTCATTTACTTACGTATTGTTTTCGCGATCTGCTGCAAAATGTATTAATAAGTAAAACATAAATGTACATTAAACTTTTTGACAATATATTTTTAGGACAAAATTTTATAAGAAAATGTTATTCTGTTGCATTAAACTTTTTACAAATAGGGTATTTTCAAAAAAAAATATTTAGAACGGAAACTCGCTGATAATGATTTGTAAGGGTGAAGCTTTTTTAATTAATGAAAGACATCAGATGTTTTGTGGCATCTGAATGTTAATGCTTCATTTGCTATTGTTTTGAATATTATGTTTCCTCAGCAAGCTTTAAAAAATATACATACACGCACAATTTATGTACGTATGTAGTTAAAATTTTATTTTTATTCTTCAAGCGAAAAACTGTAAAATGCTAAATTCTAATACATTCATATGTACATACATGTATTTCAATAAAATTATTTGAAAAATTTATTTCAGTCGGTTTACCCCCATGATTTAATAATTATGTATGTGCTTAAAGTTTATTTCTGTATGCCAAACAGAATATTATTCAATTCATATAGAAAGCTTAAAAAAAATTAGTTAGGAAGCTTTCAAAAAAATAAACATACATATTATTTACGTACTTAAAATTTTTGCGAATTTTTAAAAAACTAGTATAACAATATTTTTTTGGAAATTGGAAATTTTTTTGGACTAAAGACATGGGGCAGAAGATGGGGTTTTAAATCTACGGACCCAGAAACCGCATTTGTTGCACAAACCCTGCCAATTCACCCCCTCCCAAGATAAATTGTGACCGCTTTTTACAAAATACATAATGGGAGAGGTAATTTTTATATACTTTTGGTGGTATAAATATTGTATATAAATTCATTTTTGGAACTTTTAGCAAAAAGTGAATACTTTCTTAAGAAAATTGTAAAGATTTAAAAAAATCTAAATAGTCTTATAATAAGTATGTACGTACGCATTTAGTTATGTATTCTTTTCGCGATCTGCTGCAAAATGTATTAGTAAGCAAAACATAAGTGTACATTAAATTTCTTGGCAATATATTTTTAGGACAAAATTTTATAAGAATGTTATTCTATTGCATTATGCTTTTTACAAATAGGGTATTTTCAAAAAATATTTGGAACGGAAACTTGCTGTTATTGATTTGTAAGGGTGAAGCTTTTTTAATTTAATTTTTAAAAAATTAGATTTGCTCAGTTAAGTGAAAATGTTACAGAATATTATAAAATTTATAATAATAATTATTATAAATTTTAAATAATAATAATAAAAAAAATTATTATTATCACTATTATTATAATTATTTTAATTATAATTACTATTACAATTGATATTATTACCGAGCGTATTGTGTATACAATAGGTAGGTTATGTGATGGCAACAAATTTTGCATATCGAGTTTTCGGTGGGAACGTACTTCTCCATAGTAGGGAAGTGTAAATAAACTATTTTTAGCAACCTGTCGGTCTGTCCGTCTGTCGGTCTGTCGGTCTGTCGGTCTGTCGGTCTGTCGGTCTGTCGGTCTGTGTGTGCATGCGTGTATCTCAAGTTCTACTGAACCGATTTTTATGAAATTTTATATGTAAGTTTATTTCCACCATGGCACGGATCGATCAACTTTTGGGATATATCAGGCCTCGGGAACTGCACTTTTTAGCGGGCCTGTTTTACATTTTTGAACATTTTGAAGAAACTATTCAACCAATTTGCTTGAAATTTCATATATAAGCTTCGCTCGACCGGCCCCAAAACCTCCTAACTTTTGGAAGAAATCAGGCGTCAGCAACTAAACGTTTACTACGGGCCAAATATACATTTTTGCGTATATAAAGAGAAATAATCAACCGATTTCATTGAAATTTAATATATGAATTCCTCGTATTAAAACAATGAACATATATATTTTTTGGAAAGATCAGGGTCCGAAAACTGATCTGCGGGCCGATTTTACATTTTTCACCATATCTACGGAACTAATTGATAGAATTTCTTGAAATTTGATATTTGAGTTCTGGTTGTTACCGAAACTAACTGACGAGCATTTCAGGGAATTCGGGTGGCACAAAATGAAACTCTATTAAGAGCCAAATTTACATTTTTCTAGGTATGTTAACTATAAGCTTACTAATGTCCTAAAAATTGGAAAGAGGTAATTAACAGGCATTTTTATAATATTCTGTAACACTTCCACTTAACTAGACAATGCACAATGCGGTCGGTTATGTGCTGACCACAT